TGTCACAAACCGAAAAGTTTTGGAGAAAAATTACTCGTCTCTCCTGGAGTTATTTTACCACTTTTGCACATTTTCCTTTATTATATATTTGTAAAAAACATTGTCGTTTAACTTACAAAATGGATAAGTAATTTAAATGCATATTTTGATCGAATCAAACAAATGTATACTGTCAAAATTTTAAATACTTCGAATTTGATAGATGTTATCCGAAAGGCTATTATTTATTTATTTATTTATTTATATCAAATGACAGGCGTCTTGATGGTTTTCATTAGTCCTTTAGTTGACTTCAGGCTTTACAGCGGGGAAGGAATATCAAATTGAAAAAGTCGAGAAGGGGGGGGAACAGAAGAGTGTTTCTATGATGTAAGAGACAACACAAAAGTAGAGAAAATGTGAGGTGAGTACTGTGAAATAGTCGAATATGGCATAGAGTGTGGTGATGGAAGTTTGAAGTGAGAAGTCAACTACCAGTTAATAGACTTTTTTCCGTATGAATATACGTTGCCCTGGGTGCACCACGAGGAGGTAAGTCTATCGCACATTTATTGAATGGTAGTCTTTTCATTCCATTCAAGGTACTTCCATCTGATCATAATTTTCATAATTCCTTTTACCGCTATAGAACATTATTTCCACAAACCAGGGAGCTTGCGTTCCTTGGCAAGTGTAGAGAGCGAAATTATCAGCTTAGAAGAATATACGCATGTATATCCTGTTTTCTCAAAGGCTCCCTCAAAGACTACTGACTTTCCATCAATCATTTCAAGACATAAGAATCTCCAAAAATTAGACCTTTTAAATAAATTTTGAAGGTCGTCCATTTAATCAAAGTGCCAAAAGAATTTCTTTGTACCCCTCGTAACGTCTTATGTAATTGGCAGACGAACATTTCCTTATATACTCGGGAAAGGTATCTACGCCCCAAGTCATCGTAATCGACTTGGCTAGCCATTTTATTCACAAGATGGCAACTTTAAAGTTAGAATTGGGCTTTTCCCTACTAGTTTTGAAATTAAAACTGTCCTTGACATAATTTCTTGTACATAAAATTTGGCATTTGGAAAGGATTTACAAGCGTGAGAATCTTGCAGACACCGAAATTCGTATTAATTATTCAAGTAAAAAGTTATTTATGACTAGTTAATTTATTCTTTAATTTATGAAACAATATACCTGCAAATGCCACTATCATTGAACTATTTTGCGTGTACTTGTTTCATCAACTTTACCTTAATCAACCAAATAGGATGCAAATTAATAAAACACCCAAATTCAATTCAATTCCGATTCGTTTAGGACTTGGTAAGTTCATATAAGGGGGTTTTCGTTCAAACTAAATCACTGATTGCAAATTTATCACAGCTACTTATGTCATGGAACGTTTAATCTAATTGGTTGGCAGTGTGATGGGGGGGGGGTTATATAATTGGTGGTGGTGGGGGGGGGGGGGGG